GAGAGGACATGGAAGTGAGGCTGAGCTTGCCGGCACTTGTTAGGCCTGGTCTAAGCGCCGAGCCATTGTCGTGTTTAACCAAATTCCTTTCCGAAAATTAGCGCTTTCAGTGCAAAGAAGAAATACAACTAGCTTATGAAAACAGAACTAACCAATTTGGCGTTTAGAACCACTCCCGCTAATCGTCAAACCAAATGGAATTACGTTCGCACGACGTTGGCTTGACACTTAGTCCAGGCCTTAGCTATGCGATATGTTAGCTATTATTAACCTTGCTCCGAGGGCGTCATGTTAACCATAGCAGGTTTACGGGTATATATAATTATTACTATGCAAAACCTAGTCAGGCCTTTGGCGGCGATAACTGCTTTAAAAATAGCACAACTGATCTCATACTGCCTTGCGGTCTATAGAACATGGATGTCAGGTAAAAATCATTCATCATCAGGTCAGGGCCTTCTACTGTTAACGGATTGGTGAAGCGTTGAATATTAGCGCTCAGCTGCTAGACGTTCCTTTGTTCACGTAACCTGACAGCAGTGGTGAGGTTGTGATGGCTAGTCTAAGTCTTGGATGAAGTACCTGCCATCAGCTTGGCTTGTTCTGCCAGCCTTGCTAACCCACGTGCAATCAAAAACTACTTCAAGATGCAGTAGGGTTCAGCCTGAGGGCAATCAATCCACCTGAGACTTTCATTGATCTTTTGACGTGTTCAGGCCCGTCGGCGCCAACGGCACAGAATGCTACCTTCAAGCGTTGTTCTTCACCACCCAGTTACCATTCTGGAACTCCTGGTAGATTTCAGGATCGGTCTCCTTTACTATCTCCATCTCTGCCAAGTAAACAGGAATCATGTGAGCGTGGTTTAGCATGTCTTGCGCAAAGAAGTACTTCACAAACAACTGTAGGCTTCTAAATGGAGATCCCGCTCCAGTCTGCACGGCTCTGATAAACGCCACCATCTCCATAACCATTGCCATGTACCCTCGAAAGTGAACTTGAACAGTGGACTATCCTCATGATGAGCATCAAATTGCTCCATCTTTGCAGCAAGCTCTGTTGAAGCGATGGTCTTTGCCAGTTCTTTGTGCTTTGCTGTAATAACTTGTTTGTTGCCTTTTTTACACGCATCGCTTAACTGGTTAGCCGACTTCTTAACAATAGTAACACAGCTGGGTGTCTCACGAAGAAGGCTTCCTGGTAGAGGCTGAAGAGAGCTTGTAAGATAACCATGTGCGCTGCTTCTCCTCTCTTCACGTGGTTCCCACCGAGAATCTGCTTCACAGTGGAAGGCCCTTAGAGATCCGACTCGACCCAGCACATGTCCAGCCCGCTATTCTCGATGAATGCACCGATTGTGCGGTTGGTCCATCACGATGTGTACCTCACCAGGACGATGTATTATATGCCCAAGATCTTGACGGGTCATCTGCAACTTCTTTGCCAGTTGATAGAGTCCCATGTCAAGTCGTCTTAATACTCTGTGTTTGCATCAAAATGGTAAGCAGTCTGCCACTCGGGTGCTGGTGCAGAGATCAGGGGAGAGGTGCCAACTCGTGTCAACGGCATGGAACTACTCAAAGTGGAGTTATTGCCAGACCATACTGGGATGTCGGTACTAGGGGGCTGATCTTCTTCAACTTCTCTTTTGGTGATCGTTCTGGTCAAACTGCGTCCGAGAAGCCATGTGAAATCGTGCTTCTTGATGTACAATGGAAGTTTGTCTTGGTACACAATCCAAACTGGGGAAGGTGGGACCAACAGGCTTTCCGGGGGCACAGGACATTCTAGCAAGGTTGTCACAGACTCGGGAAGCTGTCTGATTGAGCGACGACACTGATCTCCGGGATCCACGGTCAGCTCTGGTGCTACATCGCCTGGTTCCTGCCTTTGCTAGATTGCCATCGCTGTGCCGTGGAAGGTATTCTTGCCACCAGGAGTGTCCTCTCGAAATCCACATTATCGACCGCAAAAAAAAGACGTGCCTACCCAAAACTAAATCAGGGGGTATATATAGACCATCAATCAGCTCCATGCGCCTTAGAACGCTAGCTTCGATTTGGGCCTCTACTCTCAAGATCCTGTTGTAGTCCAATGACATTCCAAATCCATGTAGCATGGGTATGAGCTGCTTGTTTCCCACGGCCTGGTGTACAGCTATCCCAACGGCTAACTGCAGCGGCATTTCCAACGAGGATCGTCATTTACATCGGACTTCTTATTTTTTGACTTGCCTCTCAGTTAAACACATCGATACAGTGGTCTGGGATAGAGCCATTGCACGATTGTACACTTCCTCAGATTTCTTTCCAGCAGAAAGCTCATGTTTTGTGCCTTGTATAATCCATCTATAAAAACTAAAAAGCGCTGCTGGTACATTCTCATCAGGCAGGTTTTCCAGTGAACCTGTGAACTTCCACTTCCTACATTTGGTGATAGATTTCCTAATTATTACGGCGGCATCAAACAGAGTTTTCATATAGGAGTCTATTTTTGCAGTCTGATCCTCAGCCATCTGATTGTTTCATCTCTTTGTCTTCTTGATACTGACTCGCTCGGACTCATTGACACGTTTAGGTGCATGAATCTCTATCTCTGGTATCTCTCGGAGTAGTAACTGCTTCAAGGCCTTTCGTCCGCCCTCGGATTTTCCACATTGTTAGATTCTAGTATGCTTTCAAAAGAATCTTGTAATTCGGACATAGTCGCCACTTTTCCACTCCTCAAAGTCATCTCTGTCATGGTAAGGAATTCCATTTGTGCTGCAATCTCACCAGCCAACTTTGCAGATGATGATTTGGATGTTTCTCTTCAAAACGTGCGATATTTGAATTTCCCAGAAGTTTTTGTGGTACTTTATATCTATCGAATGAGCATCATCTGGAGAAATTGATGTGTTGAGCTTAACTGAGAGCTTATCATTCCCTGACATCCCAATGGCAGTGCGAAGGGACTCACCAGCAGAAAAGGTACTGATATTATGCAGGTTCTTACGGTAACCGGGTGGGCCATCGTAGAAAGAACAGACATTCTTATTGTAGGGAGACGTTTTTCGAACGGGTTAGTTGAGGCATTTCTACTGATGAATCTGGTCGTGATTTTGGCCTGGACTCATTGTGGCCTTCGAGCTGCCTCTCATACCTTTCTCTTGCTCTGCTAAGCATCTCAGCATGTACTGCATCTTTATAACATGATCTATGCCATGATGCCCGCCCATCCTCGAGCTCTTGGACAGAAGTAAACCTCAACTTTTTCCACACTTCTGTGTACTGAAGATTGCTGTATTTACTCTATTCCTCGATCGATACCCAAACTTTTTCATGAGCTTCGGGCTTTTCAACTAGATTTTCTTTTTTTCTCCTTTAACAAATTATACATTAATGTAAATCCGACCCTTGGGCCTCAGTTTCGTTTGTTTTTCAACCAGAATCCGTTTCCATATCTTCTTAAACACCATAAAACATGTCGCCCTAGATGGTCTGTAAATCCAACATGGCGGACCTCTAAAATGATGAAAATCACCGCTGACCAAAATCATTGTTTTTTCCTGATTCCAATGAGCTATTGATTTGAATATAGTTTTTAAATATGAATATTCACTTTGATATATTTAACTCTCTGATCAATTTTCAATACCAAAATTTATGCCTTTGATGCTTATTTGATGGCAACAAATGACCAGCCTCGCTTTCGTGCAGTGTTGATCATGTGATCAGTATTTAGTACTTAAGTCTATGGATATGTATTAGATAGACTATATTAAAGATTTCTGGTATTTTTGTGGAAATTTATTGTAGTTAATTGTATTTACATGCCATTTTATATTAGACCCTTGATTCCATGTTGAACTATATAGGTCTAAAAACAGACCCCCAATAGCGACCGCCGGTGCAGGTTACAAAATTGCCGACAATATTTTTTGTGTTCCTCAGGTTTCCCTTAACACATCTAGGTAGGTGGTTTGCTTTCACCATCGAAATCCCACGAAAATTTATTTTATGACATATGCTCCCTGACTATGATGGCAAAACCACAAATTCCCATGAATTAAGGGCTAATTTACATCATGGAAAAAGCTTAATAACCAGACAAAATGTTCATGGTTATTGCCTGATTTCCATTGTGATGGTATATTACCCATCAATGTGAAACTTACCAAATGTCATTAATGGGATTTTTAAAAAAAACCATGAATGGTAATTATTCGCCTTTCCCATGGATGGTTTTTAACAATGGATTAAATACCATTTCCCATTTAAAAAAACATTAATGGATTTTCAATTTTTTTTCCTGTGAATAGAGCAATGACAAGAGTATTCAACAATAAGAGAGTTGTAACTGTTTCTTGATCTCTGTGAGGATATTGCAATAATATACATATATGCAGCTGTATATCTCTCACACTTATCACGTGCTTATTAATTTGAGATAAGATAATTTTGCAGAGCTTGAAAAAGGCCTGTCTTATTATCCTGGACAAGAGGATTTTCTTGCTGGACAAAATACTTCTAAAGCCTGGTTTTCACTAGTGCATAAGCATAAGCATAAGGACATACACACGCACAGAATGGCATACTTGACTCAATTCTCGATACCAGCTCTCCTCAACCCGATATGATAAACAAGATGGCGTACGAAGCATCCGCCATATTGCCTTTGAAATATTCACATGAGGTCTGGGCCAAAGTGGCCTATGACTGGTCCACGGCCTTGTGCTTGTGCTTATGATGTGAACCCAGTTTTCACTAGTGAAAGCTACAACATAAGCATAAGCATAAGCACGAGAAGAATGAACTTGTCCGTTTTTCATGTGCTTATGCTTACGCTTATGTCGACCCAGTTTTCATTTGCTCACACATGTACTCATGCTTATGCTTATACTTATGTGCTAGTGAAAACTACGCTTAAAGCTCACTGACTCAATGGGCAAGTGTCGAAGCTATTTATCTTATAATTAAAATGAGAAATATAGCAAGTATGGCACTGTAATGCCCCTATACAAGGAAAGGAAGATAAGCTTAACTACAGAATACAGGGCAAATTTTCTAGGTATATTTATTGGGGCGGTTTGGTCGGTGGCTTGGTAGTCCTGACTGATGAGCCAATGAGCCATCTTTAATAGGAAGCCACCAAGCCACTTCTAAAATATGGCCCTGTATTCTGTAGTTGCTTCGGAAAATTGGAGGGCTGCTCAAGTTTCCCAAGGATTTAGCCCACAATTTCAAAGTACTTTGTTGACAGGGAGGGGGGTATGTTAAATGAAATGGCACTCACATTTGAATGTGTGAATAAAACAATTGGCAGTCGGGGAGGGGACGGGGTGAGCAAGGGGGCGGATTCCAAAAATATAGATCAGACAAATTTCGGCTAAGTGCAAAGTCATATGAACTGAGTACAGATGATTGCTGCTGTCAGTAATTCATTGCATTTCATTATCTGGTGTTCTGAACACAAATGAAATGTACGGAATTATGTAATCAGAAATATAAAGGGCAGCTTGGTTGTCAATTGCAAGTGAACTTGCGGAAAATCGTGAAACAATTCTTGAATAAAATGGAAAAGATTTTCCTATAGCTGACTTTTAAACTTACCAATATTTACTTGATCATATCATTCTTCTTTTCTGCTATAAACTCCGGACCGACTGTGACATCACCAGAAAGCGGCCAGCGCTGTCTCGAAGAAAAGTCGACTATGTATTGATTTATTTCAATCCAGTCGGGAATTGGTCGGAAAACCTGTCGAGAGCACGTATTATTGTATTGTATTGTATTGTAAAGCCCGTCGTAGAGACTGACAGCAAGGCATCTTGGGTAATGGGAAAAATTATGGTATGCCGTGAGTGACACGTGCTAATTCTCTTTCTTTCAAGTTGTCTTTGAAGTATAAAGGTACGAGCGAACTTTGCCGTTTATTTTGTCCATTATGAAGCTTTCCAGGAATTACTTTTTCCTATAGAGGAATCATTCTATTTCTTCTTATCCTTAAAATTCTGTATGGCTAATTTATTACGGCCAGAAACAAAGTTATCGTAATTTCTTTGCGTAAGATTTCTGTAAAACCCCTTACATTTATCATATACTGTTTTGGAAAGTTTAAAACTGGCATTTTTAGCAACCTCTAGATCGTTTATTTCGAACCGCATCGAAGGCTGTAGTCATTTTGTTCACTTTGTATCGAACCCACAAAAAGAATGACGAGTTAGAAGTCTGTACTGTGTATAGAAAATAAACCAAATTTAGGGAAATTTTCGTCTGTTTATCACGTGGTGTTGGGTTTTAACGCTTCATTTGAAAAAAGCTCAAATATGACTGTTCCCTTAGAGGCTTTTCGGTCATTTCGAAGTAATTTAGCCCCCCAAGTAAGGTATCATTCGATTCTAAAACTGCCCATCCCTCCCCCCGGGCATACCCCAGGCATTTGACTGGAGTTTTGCTCCATACTGTGGAGAATTTGACCCAACATGAAGTCTGCCCAGTCGGGCATTTGACTTTGTGTCAAAACTCTGGTCAGAGTCGCAAGCAAAAGCGTTTAGTAAAATAATTTAATTCCTTCTGCATTCGCGATTCAAAGGTCATTGCTTCTATACTCGCTGTTTTGTTGGGATATTTGAGAACCTTTAAAAAAGGCCCGTTAAATGTGAGCATTCTGGAATGAAAAATGTTATTGAAATGACAAAACCCGCTTAAGACAGTTTTCCGAGACTTAAATATTTTGGTTGTGATTAGAAGGATATTTACATTTGAATGAAAAGTTTGAAGCTTGAGAAAATTTTTGAATAGTCACTGGTGGGTGGGGGATTTGGCGCTTTTTGAAGTGCTAGCTGGTGAGACATTTGGCCATCTAAACTACAGTCTATACCAACATAATGGGGAATTGGACACAAATTCTTCAAAAAAGTCAATTGCACAGGGGTTATCCTGGAGGGAGGGGGACACGGGCGGTTTTATAATTAAAGAACAAGATATATTGCATATTTGAATGACTTTAAAATAGTGGGCTTAGAAACCAGGGCGAAATGACCAGTTACCCCTCAAAGTATACCCAGCCAGTGCAATGGACAAAGTCAATAATTGATAACACTCTATAACTATCAATGAAATTTATTGATTAAAATTAAAAATGATAAAAACCAGTAGAGGAAAAAATTGTTTTCAATTGATAATTTTTCTGGTAAACAGCGTGAGGATCGACTCAGCTGTGCACAGCGTTTCACATTTTCATTCATGTACAGCAATACTCAATTTTGCACAAAAATTAGTTGAAATTTAGGATGGAAAGAGTAGATTCTTGGTACGGTTACACTGAAGCATTCAAAATAGTTCATGCACGTTAAACATGCCTATGTTTCTCAAGAGTCCTGGCAGCTGTGGACTTGACAGAAAAATGGTCTCCTGCCCCTTTATGCCTATCATTGTAATTGAGTTTGATTTTGTTTTCAGAATGTTATGGCAACAGTGTTTCTTCTCCTTTTTATTTTTTCTAGTCTTTAAACGCTGTTGTGCGCAATCCTTTACCAGTCAAAATGGTCAGGGAAGACAAGGCAACATGGAAGTCAAATTACTTCATGAGGATCATTGTAGGTTAATTTGATATTTAAAAAAGTAGAGACTAATATTATTTATTGGAACCTTGCACATTACCACAATAGTGACTAAGTGTGTTTACAATGTATAGCACAATTTTGATTACAACAGCATGAACATGGCTTTGGTGTACCAATTAAGTCAGTATTAATTTTTCATTTAACTTTCTTTTTTTCTGTCGCTGACCGGCAGTTGAACAGACTTTCCACGCACGTGCTGGTTTTTACTCACGGGCGTAGCGTGGGATTTTGAAGATGTACACACGAGAATAAATTTTTCCTAAGTGCCGAAGGTGCTTACAACTAGGGGGGTCTGGGGGCATGCTCCCCCAGAAAATCTTCAAATTTAGGGTCTTTGAAATGCCATCTCCTGGTTTTTCTGCGGGGCATTTTCAATAAATAATGCGGCGAAAAATGCAGTAGAAAGTTGTTTATTTTAACCATTTCCCTAGTGTTTTCTGTAAGCTATAGTGTTCCGAAAAGAAAAAAAATACGAAAAACAATGAAGACAGGTCACAAGCAAAGGGCCAGGCGTCGACCCTTAAGACGGGCAAACTCCGTTACCAACCTGTCAATATCCACGTTCTTATGTTTATGTATATGAAGGATTGCTAGGGAGCTTAATCTTTCATCCGTCATCGTACTTCGCAGAGGAGATTTTGGTCTCTTTATGCTACTGAAGCTATGTTCGGCAGTGCTTGTAGACACAGGATAAGTTAACAATGTAACGAGAGCAACATATACACCGGGATAAATGTGGGAGTTTGCGTGGTCAAGAGTCTCAACCAAAGTCTGCGGCGTCAAATCCGGATCCATGCCACTCCATTTGTGCTTCCACCTTGTGACTTCGGTTTTAAACGCATCCTCAGAATTTATGCCTATGTACCTTCAGCTTCTTTTGCACGTTGTTCAGTTGTCTTGTTAATTACGTTGAAGTAATCGTGTATCGATTTTCGAGTCATATGTGTGTACTCTGTGTCACGAAACACACGAAAACACTACAGAAGCCAGTGATCACACTCCTCAAGTCGCAGAAATATTCATAGGATTCTCTAACAGTTTCTTCGGAAAATCAATCACCGGGGCTTCACTGTTTGACCTCACAAGTATATTCCTAATCTCCATTGACGGCAAATACGTTTTGTTCTGAAGCCACACGTCATGGCATAGTGACCTCTCCTTCAAGAATACCTGCGGGGCTGGGGAAACTGGTGAGGCTGGCTGACCTTGAGGGAGGGGTACATTTTGCCATTATTAGTGGCCAGCACTGAATGATTAACGCTTGGATAATGGGAATTCTAATAAAAAACGCCAGTATAATGTGAAAATATGAAATTATTAGCCAGCAAATTTAGTGAGAAAAAATTTTTTCTCAGATCTCAGCTGTACGCACAGGCGTGCGTGAGTATATGGATGCTATGCCCCTGTTATTATCAATTTTGGAGCCATAGTTGAGTCATAATGAGCGCCTAAAAGATTTTAAGTCATTCACAGGGCTCCAAAAAAACTTGAATTCCAGCTTTTCCTTTTGGCAAGGAAATCTTAGATTGGGCTTACCTGGGGCCAATTCTTGCTTGTCTTTGCTAGTGATTCACTTAGAAGATGACTTGCCTGGTCTCTTGCCCCATTGGGCAAGTGAGCTGTAAAAGTTACTCATCCATCAAGAAAATCCACCAGTCCAGGACTACAGGATGGGATTTTTTTACATACCCTGATTCAAAGTAGAAGAGTCATGAGCTCCATTTTTATCCAGTACCACATATGAGTCTGTTTCTTAGAATCTGGGGAAACCAAATTGCCAAGAAACACAAGCAGAAGTGAAAGAATAAAGGAATCATAATGCTTGTTTCCACTTGATCTTTTACTTTTACTTATGTCTGTGTTAATTAAGTTTTCACGAGGTTGGAAGTGGAGACAGAATGCTGGTTACTACCATCCTTATGACTAATGTGATTAGTAACAAAAAAATTAGGTTGGCTTTTAGACTTATACTCATACTTAATCTCAGACTTTACTAGTCCTGGAAAAAGGTTCCTTATATGCAACAAGCCACAATATGTATTTATGACGGAAGCTCTCCTAATGGACACTCTCATAAGCAAACAGCTCTGCTTACAGCCGCCTTCACTAAACCCCATTTTTCTCAACTCCCATATAAACTCTGTGTTTTTAAATTCTTGTAAGCGGCCACCTCCAGTTTTGACGTCCCGAGGATGTCCGCTCACAAAAGGTTCCACTGTATTTCAGTAAAGGGTCATTTACTATTTTCTCCAACTTACTGTATTTAATCACGTGCTCAAAAGTAATTGTTCACTTACTTTTGCCAACAGCAATACTTGGATGAATACCCTAAGTTGTTTTTGGTGGGTGTTGACAATGTGGGTTCAAAGCAGATGCAGCAGATTCGCCAATCCCTGCGTGGACGAGCTGAGGTTCTTATGGGCAAAAACACCATGATCAGAAAAGCCATCCGAGGACACTTGGATAACAACCCTGCCCTGGAAAAGTGAGAAAGTTTAAATGCAAAGTTTGTAACTAAAAAGGAATTAAGTAAGACTAGTATGCAACTGCCTAGATCAGGTGCTTATCCAAAAGAAAAGAAAGAATTTTTTCGATGGGTGTAGCTTACATTGTTCTGCCTTGTACACTGTCCTGCTGATTGTCACATGCATTGAGCCAGTCTTGTTCTAGAGCAAACATACAGTTGGTTAAAAGAAAACCTTTTCATCTGGCAAGCATAGATCATAAAGAAACGAGAATCAGGATTTCTGCAAAGACCTCTGGCATTGTCACTTTTAAATTATGACATATTTATTGCATGTTAGCAAGTTGCATGGCTACATTATTCCCTTGATCATGGTGTGGAATAAGCTGCTGTTTTGTTGGTTATGTTACAATGCTTATCAATAACACACTTCTACAAAAGAGGGATTGCATATTGTGCCTCTACCACACAACATTTCAATAGCACTACTAAGACTGCCGAAGAGTGCTCATCCAAAACAGTCATTTTAATGTTGTACGCATTCTCTTCTTTGACAAACTGGAACCATTAGCTGTAACATCAAGTGAGCTCACCTGTGACCAGTGTCATAGTTTAGATGTCAGGTTATGGCCCTTAATGATAGCCCTAACATTTACTTTATTATAGGAAATTAATGCTCCATGAAATTAAGGTACTGCAAATTAGTGCAACTTAAATTAACGCAAATTTTGTAGAAGATGACTTTTGAACAAAGGGAATTAATGCGAAATAGAGGGTAACATTTTAAAATGAAGGATATTAATGCAACATTCACAACGAAACAAAACTTGTATTTGTTGGGAAAACTGAAACAAGGTTAAACTTAGAGTCTGAGATGGATACTTTGTTCTTTGTTCTTTCCTTAAGCATATGAAGGGGGTTAAATGAAGAAATCTGGCCTCGTCAAGTTCTACACAGTTTCATTGTTAGTAGCGGAATGCCACGTTAATAAAATACTCCTCTTTCTTAGGTGTCAAGAATGTCAGAAGGTATTGAGAAATTGGGGTCAAAATAATCGAAATTAAGGTTGCAGAAATTAACGCTACACTTAATTGACAGCACGGAAATTAACACTCAAAATTCGCGTTAATTTCCTATAATAAGGTATATTATTATTATTTTATTATTTTTTGACTTAGTAATTTTTCCTTGCAGGCTGATCCCTCACATCAAGGGCAATGTAGGCTTTGTATTCACCAAGGAAGATCTTGCTGACGTACGTGATCTTATCCTGGCAAACAAGGTTGCTGCACCGGCCAAAGCAGGTGCCCTTGCTCCAATTGATGTGTTTGTTCCCAAGGGTAACACTGGGCTAGGACCTGAGAAGACCTCCTTTTTCCAGGCCTTGGCTATTCCAACAAAGATTGCCAAAGGAACTATTGAAATTTTGGTAAGTATGTGTTTGTGTTGCTGTGCAGTTAAACTTAGGGCTCTTTGCAAAAGTCAGAACTGGCCGGCTGGATTATGGCTGGACCAGTCATTTTGACAATGAAATAGGCTTTTTTCAAGAGTTTTTGCTGAAAAACCATCTCGTTTGTGCATACTAGTTGTTTAGGATTTGACTGATCTGGCTGGATAGTTTTGATTAAAAGTGAAATTCTCATTTCGGCCGGAATGGTCTGGCTAGTCAGTTGTGGCAAGTGGAAAGTGCCCTTAGTCTTTAACCCTTCAAGTCCCAGTAGTGATCAACATCAATTTTCTCCTAAAGATATCCATATGTTGGCAAGAGAAAAGGTTATGTGAGTTAATAAAATAATCACTAAAGAGAAAATACCTTGATCTTTTATCAAATTCTCTCAACTAATTCTTAAAACAAATGTATAGAGATCACTTTGGAGAATTTGTATGCGGATATTGGGGCTTAAAGAGTTAAGCAGCGTACATACAAGTCTTGTCCAAAAGCCTGAGGTAGTGGATTTTGCTATGAAGTTTTTAAATTCTGTTCTTACATGTACATGTATCTTGTCCGATGGGCAAGTGATGTTTTGGGGAGAATTCAAATTACAGAAGAACTGTTATCAGTCCTGCTCTGACATCAAAATTTTTTTTCCAGCTAGTTGAAACGTATAGTACACCCTAGCTAAAGCTTGTCCAAAAGGCAAGTGGTAAGACTGAATGATCTTGCAACATTGCAACTTGAAGGCAACTGCTGTATTGTTTATTCTCATCTTTGATTTTGCTCTTTAGAATGATGTGCATTTAATCAAGAAGGATGAGAAGGTTGGTGCTTCAGAGGCCACTCTGTTGACCATGTTGAAGATTCTTCCATTTTCCTATGGTCTTGTAATTGAGCAAGGTAAAGGCTTTTCTATAAACATAACTTATGGCTTTGAAGTCCTATCACCAATTTATCATACATTACACCAATATTTTTACTAACTATTTCAAGAGGTTACGACTCTTAGCAGAGCATTATTTTTGGGGGAGAAGAAAGTTCATCAAGACCAGATGCCAGACATGACATCTGGTAGTTTGACATTGTTAGGTCCGGTAGTATTATTTTTGAAATGTAAATAAATTGTTTAATTTTGGACTTTTCCATGTTATTCAGAGTGCAACTTCAAACATTTTCATGGGGGACCATGCCCCAGGATCCCCATAGAAGGTCTTACCTTTATCACCCATGTTTTTGCCTTGTGCCTCCTGTTACATGTTTTTTCTGTGATAAGGGAGCCTAGGCTATTGCTTTCTTCTGGGCTCCTTGCCAGTTTCCTGTTATTGAATTTGTAATAATGATTAATTAATGTATTTCACTTTGGTGCAAAAGAAGTGAACTGAACTGATTCTGCACTGAAAAATGTTCCTAAAAGCTTGAGTGCCATAAATAATAATGTGCACTGTTTTTGTAATGAAATTATGTACACACTACAATATTATATCGTTAATATCCTAATGAGCACTGATAATAGCCAACCAGTTTCAAGAATGGGTCATCACTAGACTGATCAGTAGAATATTAGTCTCCGGGCTCGAAAGTTAGCAACCATCTGGTCTCACATGCGACCATATTTTATTCAATGTGCTTAAAAAAACGTGTGGTCACACTTGTGCACCTAAAAAGCCCAAGGTCAGTGCAATTGACTGCGCTGAGCCCATCGCTTATGTACTGAGACTCAAGGAAGCCAGAATCCCCCCTAGCAACTGGAGTCTGAAATCCAAGTTTCATTGACACAGCATCCCAAGGCTCGAAATAATTTCCGGAGAGCCTTCAGACACGATGACCGGCCAAATTCATTTTAACTCGGTCACTTATCGTTTCTGGCCGGTCAAATTTATGAGATAAATAACTCTTAAAACAAGTGCCAAAAAACAACTGTGGGTTCAGATATTTCGAGGGGCCGCGAAATTTGTTAGAAATCTTATCTAATACATGTCGGTACAACATATTTGAAACTTATCTCGGCTATTGGGGCTGTTAATTGCTGCCAACTTCATCCCCACAACGAGCGAACAACATTCCAAAACTACCAGGCATAAGTTATGTTGGGGACGACTGGGCACTAGTCATGATGTTTTAAAAAGCTTTGCCACTGGCTCATTTCTCGAGCGCTTTGTTGTTAAAATAGCAAGTGATTATGTCTGTTAAAAAACTTTAAACATGCTCGTCAAATCAGCACAAAATCAATCGATTTCTAGCGAAATTTGTCCAGAAAATTCCCACGAAATCGGCCGTTTTTATCTATTGTTTTTCGGCAAAGTTAGTCCCGAAAATTTCCGCGAAATTCCCGCGATATCAGCCGATTTTTCTGCGAATCTCTCTAAAAATCCCGCGAAACTTGACTTTTTTCTCCGCGACCGATCAGACGCCCTTAAGTTGCTGCTTAACTCATAAAAGTAAAAAAAAATTAAATTTTGTGACCGAAAGCGCGTGAACCCCAATGTCTGTTTCAATGCGCGAATTGTAAACAACGGTTGTAGTTGTATTTCACCCAGGATTTCAGATCAACGTTTCGGAATGCACAGCGACTCGCTACATACTGATAACAATTGAAACAACTGATTTCATTTTCAATACGATCGATTGTGACCGGTCAACATGACCGGTAAGACGAAAAGTTGACTGGTCAACTCCCCAATCAGTCCGGACATTGTCCGTTGAACGGCCGTTATTTCGAGCCCTGCATCCGGAATCCAGAACCTGCAATCCACATACAGATCATGGAATCCAGAATTCAAGACTTCCTTGGGTTCCTTACATTAGCAGACAGACTGATTAGACATGAGATGGATGCTTTAAAACAGTGCCAAGCCTTTAATGTAGAGGGTTTGCATGCACCTTGTAAGTCCTTGAAAGTCCTTGAGTTTGAAAATTAAAATTCAAGGCCTTGAAAGTCCTTGAAAATTGCAGTCGCTGCTGGAAAGCCGTTAAATTTTAATGCTCACTTCATAGCTTAAGAAGAACTGCAAAGGAAAAGGAGCAAACACAGAAGGTCCTTTGGGAGAAAAGATGTAGACTCAAGGCTCTTTTTTGCACTGAAAAGTCCTTAAATTTTTTGTTCCAAAAAGGGTACGAACCCTTAACCTAACTGTATTGCAGTTAAGTCATCACGTTGTTGTTGTGTGTTTTCAGTGTATGAAAGTGGGGCCTGCTTCTCTCCAGATGTGTTGGATATCACCACTGAGGATATTCTAGGTCGCTTTGTTGAGGTAACTTTCTACTGGAGGCAACTCTGTCTTCAGCTTAGTTAACTTGGGAGTTTAAGTTGGAAAGGCAAAAGATTTGACCGTTGTTAGTTTTTGGAATCGCACAATATATTTTGGGCTTCAATTGACACTGACACTTGTTTACATTCACTTCATGTCATTTTAAAAGTCATACAGGATTATCACAAAACAAGAAATATGTCTGGAAGACCAGTTCTTTACAGTGATTTTCACATTTTAATTACAGTAGTAGCCACATGTAGTCTCCGACTGCCTATTTTTTTATTGTTAAAAAAGAGAATTAGTTATCCAGAAAGCTCAAAAACACAGTAGGCCATTAATTCTGAGTTCCAAAACCTCTTGCTTTTAAAATGAGGCTAAGTGCGAAACCTTTCTTGTGAAAATTAGTTTTATTGTCATGAGAATTAAAAGTCGTCAGTATATCAATGGCTTTGTCCTTCGTCTTCCTCTGAAACAGAGGCGTGGGACAAACTGATAATGGCCTATTACGTATTTAAATGTTTTGATATGATATGTTCAGAATTGGCTTCTTGGAAAAAAGGGTTAATCCAGTTTTTTTGTTTGATGTCTTCAGGGTATCGTAAATATTGCTTCAGTGTCGCTTCAGATTGGTTACCCAACTGTGGCATCCGTGCCTCATTCTATCATCAACGGATTCAAGAATCTTGCAGCCGTTGCTGTGGAAACCGACATCACCTTCCCGCAGGTTGAACAGCTCAAGGCCTACCTGGAGAATCCAGAAGCCTTCGCTTCTCTGGTTCCTGCTGCAGCCACCGAAACAGCCGCTGCCCCGGCGGAGGATACGAAAGAAGAAAAGAAGGAGGAGGAAGAAGAGGAAGAAAGTGATGATGACATGGGCTTTGGTCTGTTTGACTAAACAAGCTGTCATCACTCTCGTTGAACCATGATCTTAGATTAAGCTTGATCAAAATAAAAACATTTGAAAGCATTTACTTGTTTCCTTGATGATTCATAATGTGATGTGTTAAGAGGATAACCAGTCAAGTCACCCTAAAGTCATATCGCCCTTGTTGCTTTAGGTTACGTTGCCTTAAACCCAGTGTCTTTTACACTAACGTAGCAAGTACCTCAAAAAATGCGCGGAATAAGCGTGGAATGACGGTGTCTGCATTACCGTCTGGGGCAACATTTCGGGCGAATTGGCTTCGAGTCGTGTAGGGAGAAGTATATTCTGCTACTGGAAAGCCCTGATCGAGATCCACACAGTCGGCTCCTCTCTGTAAGACGGACACCTAGAGTTGGGCCCTCCCGGCCTTTCATTTAACTTAGGCCATAAGACGGACATTACTGACTAAAGGACGCTAATTGCGTGCCTGTCCCAAAGGTGCCAATAGGGACCTAGCGATCCGACAACGGTGACGTCTATCAAAACGTCCCTGAAAAATAGACTTCGCATCCTTTTAAACTTTTTGGCGATTATCTCAATTCGCCCTGTTACTTAAAAGAAGGGAATTTTGGTTGGAGCTGAAGAGAGTGAACCGCGCCCGAGTTCAGACTGAGATCGTAGAATTTATCGCTCTGCCGTTCCTGTTCTCAATTTCACGTCGCAGTTGTGCAGGGACAGCAAAGAAATGTACAAAAAAGCGTGATGCACGTGCAGAGTTGTTATTTTGCTCATTAAACCTATTGCTTTTTTGACGTTCTCCTTGCTGTCGCCGTCGTAGTTTCGTAAGGTCCCTGGTACTCTTGGAGAGAGTTGGTTGTGATGTTAAAGGCCCTATTATTATCAAACGGCATCTGATGATCATGTCTCGATTTCTACCATACTTTCGGTGCGACTCCTAGTAAAGAACAAAGGTGTCGTCTAGTGATATTAGTTTAGTCTCCAAACGTTTCGTGCCTGGCCCTGCCCTTCATCAGTGGAGTTCAAGTCTAATTAAAGTAGGCAAGTGTGACAAAAAGAAAATTTCTATTACAAGCGAAATTGCACAGTGCACGGCAGCTTGATACTTTTGAATGAGCAATGTTCAAAGTGGAAAGGACCATTCATTCTCACTACAGCAATCGGTTTTCCTCCACTCACAGATTCAGCCAATTAGAGCCCAAACAGAGGTTTGAGATAAGCACCCATCCACATTGGTACTTACCTAAAAAAATGACGTTAACCTCCTCATACCTTAAATGCGTCTGTCTTATTTACCGTTTTTCTACTGAAAAAAGGCCATTTTCAGAGCCTCCCAAAATGAGCTGAGGCTGGAGCAAAGGCTAGAGCGAGCCTCATTATTCCGCTCGGCCAAAGCGTTTCGAATCATCTGGTTCAAGCGCCAAAGCGAATTTAGCGAGAGGGCCTGGGAAAACGCAGTACAGAGCGGGCCATCAGGGCCCAGTTGTTCGAAGGCCGATTAGCGCTTGGCTAGGGTTAGATTTAACCCAGGTTTCTTTTTCTTTTACTCAAAGACATTTTCTTGGATAATTTTCTCTGTTATTTTTAAGAGCATCCAATCATCAACTTGCTGACAAAAAGAATTAAACTGAATTTACTTTTTAAGCTTTCATCTGAATTCAAATTTCGCACTAACCCCTGGGTTATCTTAACCCAGCTTTGAACAACCCGGCCCAGATGGCTTGCGGCTGAGGGCCAACATGGGGGATGATCATAAATAGAAAAAAAAATTGACAATTTATTACGCAAATCAAACTTCACACGCATTTATTGAACCTGTAATATAAAGAAATGGATTAATAAACTGATCGCAATAGGAATGATGAAGAACCGTATAAGGGTCATCCTATTCCTCGGTAACATGGCTCGCGCCCGCGCTCACCGTTACACAGCAAACGTGACAGATTTGCGAGATTCATGTGCCGTTTTAAGCAGCCTCGGGGAGACGATTGCATTGCTGTGTCTCATCAATAACGGAAAGCTAAATCCTCTATTACGCAACATTGTTCTAGAGCTGCTAATCGGTGCAATGAAACCGCAGTTCCAAATCATTTGACTAAGCTGTCCGTGGTTATACATTTCCTTTCTCTCCTCGTCCTGGTACGACTTGGTGAAGCTCTCACGAAAAGCATAATAATTCGTAGACCTCTTACGCCGTTGTGTTTGACCATTTTTTAAGCATTGCCAACTCAGAGGTTTCGAATAAAACACCTCTAAGTGCGATGTAGATCTGGAAAGTTTTGGAAACTTAATAACATTCTGACGGAATTTCGTCGTGGTTTCAAAGTCAGTGTGTAAGCGTGCTTCGTTGTCCTTTGTTTTATTCATCATTTTCCAGTCTTTTTGTTCCATTGAAGCGCTCCCTTGTGTTTCTGTCTCTGCTAACCTTAAAGTCTCAAACAATCGTATCATTAACTCTTGTACTACTCTTTCGTCGCTTAGATCGATGATATCTGGAGAGGGAGGTTTGACAAGTTGAATTTTCTTTTTAGAAGTTCGTCTCGGCGTTTTCAGACCTTCTCTAGCCATCTCTGACTTGGAGTCTGTACAATTTAAAAGTCCGGTTTGTAGAGAACTTCGCCTTGCTATTCTTCTTCGATTACTGGACGACAGCGTTTCTTTTCCGGACTCTTCAGTAACAGCTTCCTTTTTACCGGGTGCTTTTCTACCCTGCTCCTCACTGGAAACAGCAGCCTCCAGGTCTGCGAAGTTTACAAGATCTCGGCGTTTCGAAGAACTCTTTGGTTTGGAATCTCTTGGTGATCTCAGGTTATTTTCAAGCTTGTCTTCGCTGATGGATGGCAGAATAGTTTTGGATTTTTCGCTGCTCGCTGGTTTTGTTGCCATATGGAGTTCGCAAAATGACTTGAAGTGTTGGCTACTTTAAAGTTTTTAAAACTTCAACTGATGAGGTTTAATCTATCACAATCACTTTAGACCGAAAGCCATATTTTGCCGCAGCCCACGTTCGTTTCACCAGGCCATCTAAGAGCTTTTTTTCTGAAGCAGTTTAAACTTTTTGCACGCATTCGAGACGCACTTAATAATAAGATCAAGCTGCTAAGCCTTTAGTGAAATCCTTTCCATTATATATCACCATAGCAACGAAAGGAGTAAGCCGTTCCATTTAATAAAGGATTAACTATTATTGCAATACCAGTCTTCAAGACTGCTTGATCACCAATATATACCAGTAAAACTGAAGGAAAAGGCAGTTATCGATCGACCAGATGAATTGTGCAGTAGATGAAAACGAAAGTGAACTTTGCAGTAAGTGATTTTGTTGAGTGCTATTCTCTGATTAGCACTTTATCAATTAAGCGAGTTATTGACACAGAGATAATTGAAAAACTTAAATAAGGCATTCAAATTTCATTTTAAAATAATTAAAATTGTAAACATTCATGCAAGCGCGGCAATGCGGTATCGAATTTTCCTACAGCGTCAAAAATAGTCACTCAAATGCAACAAGAAGACTTAAATATTTTTTCCTCCTCCTGCAACGCAGGTTTCCCTTTTTCAGTTTTTTCTGACAGCTCAGTCTTTAAATAAGTTAATTAGCATGATTTCTTTTGTGTAAACAACGCTTCCCAAGAGAAAACTTTATTCACAAGATAATTTATTGTTGGCTGTAATGAAGCCAATGTGTTCAAACTCTTGTTCCTTCAAATACTAGCTCAGTCGTCCCCAGAGCGAACGAATTGCGTTGAGGAAGAATAAACTGGCGGTGAAACAGCTTTCTACAACGCAAAAAAGAGTTCCAACGAAAAGAACGCCATGATCCTGGCACAGAAGCTGAGGTACAGCGGAGAAGGAGGAGGAGGGCGTCAAACTGAAGGAAGAAGGGAGGTACCGCTGGTTCTTTTTTTGCAAGTCTATTTACACAAAATTGGCCACCACTCAAAAGAAGTGATAATTGGATGACACTGAAAGCATCGCATAACCACTGATACTGTAATAATAATATTTGTTTACCTCTCGCCCCGGTTCTTCAAAAGCTGGGAAGCGCTATATACCGGATAAAATGCTATCCAGTGATTAACGCAGTTGGTTTCCAAAAGGCGTATCCGTCGTATTCGCTGGATAAAAAGTTCGCTGGATAGTGATTTCTCCGGTGGATAACGCTATCCAACGTTTGAACATCAGGGGCCTGGTATCCAATGTTCGCCGTTCAGAGCATACGCATCCTCGGAGACCCAGGGTTGGCTAGTCGGGACGATAGAATGTTCGTATAGTAAACTTTCACCACGAACATTCTATCGTCCCGTTTAGCTGCCCCTGCGTCTCCAAGGATGGAGCATACGGGGCACTCAACGTTTTGTGACAACATGGCAATGCATGCTGGTAGTATCCAGTACGTATGAATAAATGATGTCTTGCTGAGGTCATCTTAACTGTGTGAAATTGACAATGACATGGCAGGTAATGGAAATAGAGATATTTAGAATCCCGTTCACGGCAAACGCCAAACGTAAATTTGTACCAGTGACCTTTACTTACCGTTCATTAAATCTTCACAAAAATTAGTAGTTTCACTCCTAGTGAGCTTGATCAACAAGAATTATTTTGAACAGTTTTCATCCGCTCTTTTCTTACACTTCCTCCCTTGAACCTCACGATTGCCGTTTGCCGTATATGTGATTCTGAAACTCTCTCACGACTCAACAAGCGGAAGACAAATCAGGATTTAAATTTTTAATTTACCTTAACAAATCTACTCAAAACAATTTTATACGACAACACTAAACTAAAGTAGCTTAAACAACACTAAAGTAGCTCTTTTCGTAGTACGTAACAATTTACTGAACCAATCACAGGAAAACCCATTTCGTAATTTGCTTTTTCGAACAGAGCTGCAAACTGTGATTGGCTTAAACTTGTCACGCCATGTTTATACCAATCAGAACCTCTCTCCACTGCACAGGCTCCCGCTTGGTACCCCTAACTTCCTGTCTTTCCCCTTCCCATCGTCCGCCACACGCTTTCCTTTTTCCTTCTCCCCAGCCCCCCTACGACACAAAGAGGCCTCGGCTGCGGAGGAGAGAGAATCAGAACAGGTTATTACACTTAAACCACCAGCGGCTTTCTCCACTGCGTTTTCCCGAGCTACATGCATTTAATTCGAGTTGAGATTGGTTCAGTGGATTGACTAAAAAAAGCTTAAAACATCTCATTGCTTTGGGTAAACAGGCTTATTTAGGATATTTCGCGCTTGTAACTTTGTAGGCAGAGCCGCCAGAGCGAGCCCACGATTTTTTTTTTCGCCGGCTCCAAGATAGTCTTGCGATACCCCCAAACAAGTCAGCCTGTTCGCACAAACCAAATACTTAACAAAAAAAAGCAATAACAAACAACCAAACAAAAAACAACAACAAAACAAAACTAAAAAAGACGAAAAAAAAAAAAAACTCCTAACAGAAACCTAAAAGAATGACTTGAACTGGACATCAAAAAAGCTTTCGCGGTCGACCAAAATCACAACCCGGCTCTTATAAAGGGAACAATTAAAAAACCGCATTTAACGAAATAGCTTTCAGCCTTGTTTTAGGCTCGGTCCGAAGAGAAAATAACACACCATCTTAAATAGCTCTTGCAAATGCCATTACCTAGTTTGAAAACTATGCAGTACTCACACAGTGAGTACAACGTAATTGTCACGGCCACAAAATTCAAGCATAAAAAGATTTGTTTTCGATGGTAAGAAGTCAGGCCTCGAAAGAGAAAAACCTACAGGCCGTTCACCATTAATAGGAACAAGAGTTGCAAACGAATGAAAATGAAACAGTACCACAAAATTACATAAAAAATTATCGTTCAGAATCATTCAATAACTATAAATAATATGAAAAACAATCAATTGCATTATTTTTTTACTTCTCATTACTTTTAAGTACAAATAAAACTCAGTTCTGTAAGCGAATCTTTGTTTGCAATGCTTGGCTCATTAGCACATGAGGGTATGGTCAGCATTTTCTAATATAACTGTAATGCCAACTTCGAAAATTGAAAGAACGCAGCACAATTAGCCATTTCTAAACAGGGAAATTTACATGATTTCGTTACTTGGCATTAGTATTTTGCCTCCCAGGAACTGCTGATTTTTCTTTAACATTCAAATGAAAGCTCTTGGCAGAAATTTTGCACATAACTCAGTATTTATTTCTATGTATTTTACAAAATGAAAATTGGATTTTTTACCGTTTTCACTTTGACCACTGTTAAATGTGGGAGGGTTCGACATACCATCCAAAGAACTCGGTAAACATTGAGTATAATACTAAATTTGTTCAGCAGTTTCTCAACTTTCGAAGCTAATTCCGATTTGAAACACCATGTAACGTCTCCACGTAACCAATAGCGTCTTCAAAGATTCGCCTACTGCATGAGTTAGACTAAAACTAAGATATTAGATAGCAAGGACATGAACCAGTAAACAGCAGTATTCGTGGAAACATCGTTTTGATGGTGCACACACTCGTGGGCTCAGAAATCTGGTTCAGGTACTTGTCATCCAAGTTTGTCCTCACTAAATTATTTGGGTTTGAATGGCTGCTATCTGTTCTTAAACTTGTGGTGATGATGCAAATCTAAACTTTATCCTTCTTGTTGTAGTCTTTTAATTGAATAATTAACCATTTATTTATCTATTAGTTTTAAATTAACGTTAACCTCTTGCTACATTTGGTAACGGTCAACGAAATGACAACTTTAACATTGTGCAAAACTTGCATATTGTGTGACACATTAGGACCATTTCTACGAGGAAAAATAAGACGCGTCTTACATAAGACGCGTCTTAAATAAGACAAGAACTTTCCGTATAAACGGCACATTTCGTCTAAAATAAGACGCGGCTTAGCTAAGACGCGTCTTATTAGATAAGACATACTCGTATAAATGGAAAAGTTCGCGTCTTATTTAAGACGCGTCTTATGTAAGACGCGTCTTATTTTTCCTCGTATAAATGGCCCTAATGATTTCCGCTCATAGTTCAGTACTTAAATTTAAACAATGAAATCAATATATTTCTTAGAATTAAGTTCCAGTATTTACATCTCATTGGGATTGTTGCCAGAAACAATAACACCTTGTGGTCAAAAGTTACCCAAAGAAATTAACTTTACAACATCAAAGCATTTTTACAAGGTAAATATCACGCTGCTTAACGTGCGGAGGTATAAGTTGAAATGCCAACGACTCTCGCTAAGAAAAAGGCCCGTCTCACAAAAAATAAGTAAAGAAAAGGAAAAAGAAAGAAAAAACGGGCAGTTTAGGGAAGGGAGGGTCGAAATACCATATTTATCTAAATGAGAAAAATGAAAAGCGCAGGGAATCTCAACTCGACGCGGTTTGACATCCACCTTAGGACTTCACAGCCTCGTCCCCAGGCCAGTTTGCGCTATCCGAGTGAGCAGAGGAAGCTTGGGTTCGAACGCCTAGCGTGAATTTTTCCGACAAGATAGACAGGTGACGTCACATACGAAATCGCCAAGGACGACTGGGAACGACGCTGAGGACCTCACCGCGCAGAAGAAAGAGCCTGTGTTTCTGATTACTTCAGTTCAGTCTATTCATCTTTGCGAAAAATTTTCAATTACAAAATGTCAACCCTCGCGTAATGAAAATACGAAAGAAACAAACATTAAAAATGGAACCTTCCTAATCTGCTCAATGGTGAACGCATTTAATCAACAGCCACCGCCTTAACTAACACTAAGGGGTAGGATGCCGTCGAAATATTAAATGCACTCATAAAATTTGACCTTATATTGACAAAGCCTGGCAAAAAATGCAAACTCACCCGTGATAAAAAAATAAATTTGTATGGAGAAGAACAAAATGGATAGCTTGGAGTAATGTGTAGAATGTGCATTGCTGAATTTTTTGAGTTAAAGAACCTTTCCACCAAGTATTTCTGATTTGCTTCAGCTTTAGTTCTAACCCTGTTCATTTGTGTGGCTATTTACTAATTTATTTCTGTAGTCAGGGCCCAGGTTTAGGAATGGTCACATCACCAAAAGAAACTGCTGTCACCGTAAAATTTTCTTTACAAAAACGAATGAGAAAAAAAAGGAAAAAAAACCGACATTCATTTTGAATATGTGGTATATACTTTTAACTTTTTAACACTTTCTTTTTTATATTTTCTCTTCATTTCAAGATTATAGAGATATAGAATACCCTCAAGTATCTCCTGCAAGCTATGGGTTAACAGACACATTTCAAAGCCCAAACTAAAACTTACAAAAGTTTCAAACGCCACACCCATCGTAACCGCTTAGATAAACGGCTTTAAAAACCATGCTTAACTAAATAAGACTTTGTCCCCTTATTATTTGCCTTTTAATTGCCTCGTTTATATCCGTAATTCATTCTAGGACAATGGCAGCGGCCATTAACATAAAAGCTCTTTTTACTGTTTACCTTTTAGTAAATCAATGACTTTTAACACCTGAAGACCTTGCTGCAATAAAACACCATGTTTTATCCCTAGGTCAACACCACTTAGTGCACCAAACCTATATTATTAACGTAGTCTGGGATTCTTGTGATCCGCACTGAACAGTTCAAGTTCATATCAGTCCATACCAGCAAAGGTCGTTTGTGGATTATGATCCTGATGAAGGCCTGGGTCGGTGGGGCGTTGCACTGGAGGAGGAGTAAGTTCGCTGCCCTCTCTGTGACAAAGGAAATATGAGATTGCGTGAGTTTGTAACGCAAAACAAAGTCTGTGTGTCACAACTGGTCACGCAAATTTTCAGTTCCTTCCGACATTTCGGAAATAAAGAATGAGAGACCTTTAGATTCTAAGACGAGGAGGACTACTAGTACCAGATTTTCTCAGCACTAACTAATGCGCTTGCGTAAACCAGCTTCATTTTGGCGGGAAAACGTGATAGTTGTCGTCATTCTACTACGGGTTTTATTATTTTGCGATCGCGAAAGGGCGTAACCTCCTTCACTAAAGATAACAGTGCTAACTTTTCTGGTGAAAAAGGGTACAATAAAGCTTTCCGGGTTGCATGTCTATTTTTTGAGAATACACGAAAAAACTTTCTGTCAAATCTTGTCTTCGGAGTCGTTGTCGTCATCGAATCTAATTAGGGAGCTTAAGTAACTACGACGACGACCACAACGATGACTTCAAAAAAAACAATAGGTTTAATGATCAAAACAACAGCTCTGCACGTGCATCACGCTTTTTAGTACATTTCTTTGACGTCCACTGCACGACTACGACGTGAAACCTCCTTATTTGACGTTTTATGGAGGACGTGGACATACGACGACGAATTTTCCTTCCCCTTTTTGAACCTGAATAAAATCCTTAAGAATTCAACTCCAGGAAAAGTCGTCTGCACTTGACATTTTGAGCGGGTCCAAATAGACGCGATTAAGTTTGAAAGAACGCAAATTCATTTTTTTACTGACGTTTTCACTGCCGTCTCGTCGTCCTTGCTTAAGGTCCCTAATGTCTCTTTTAACTAACACTAGACGCATTTCAGCAGACTATTCAGGGGTATAAAAGAGGTCTAGGAATAAATGCTGATAAGTTGGAATGAAAGAAGCAACACAAAGTTAAGTATTATCGAAATTTCGAGGAACGAGTACCAACTCAAACAGGAGAAACTGCGCTTGATTTGAGATTTTTAGGCTCAATTGTTTTTTACTTCGTTTGGTTGAGTTTACTTAATTGTCGTGTCGTTGGTGAAGCCCGTTTCTTTCCTAAATTAGGCTTTCAAAAGGTCTGCAGCGTTAGACGCAGCAAGATTACCGCCACTTTTCTGCATTTCCAAATATTACATGTAAGTACATCTGAAATATAATTAGTCTTACTTGTAATGAGTGAGTCGGTGGAGATGAGCTCGCAGAGGAATGGGACCCACTCAGTCTCTCATTGGATGGATATCTGGGCAAGCGCGGTGACGGCGGAGTAAAACCATAGGCTGGTGATATGGGTCTGTTGGCAGTCAGCGGGAGGGGACTGGATGATGTACGGTCCCGGTGCGCCGAACCATGGGAGGTCATCTCGTTGAAGTGCCTACAGGAAAGGTACATTCTCTATTTTCAAATCCCTCATAATAAACTTCGCTTGCCCCCACCCACACCCCCCAACATTTTGCATGAACTATTGTTTCATATGCTCCCAGGAGGACTGTTTCCAAAAGCGTTTGAAAACAACAGCTTTTAAAAAATTGGGAAAGGGGCGGTGGCGAGGGGGAGGGGGCAAGAAGAGTGTTCTATGAGTGGTTCAATATACAAAGAACAAACAGGTTTGGTACGCCTGAAAGTCTTTAAAAATTAAGAGGTCATGAAGCACTGAACCAAATACTGGATATAAATGGCGTTTATCATCAGCATGCCCATCATTTGATCCCAAAATTATGATCAAAAGTTAAAAACGAGTAGAGTAAATTTTGTCTTACATCTAATCTTTCCAAATTCAATTACGGCTGATTATAGTTTGATCGTAAAACCTCGATAGTGTCGCATGAATTTAGCCCGATTATCGCATATCGAAGAAAGTCAGGAGGCGTACCCTTTTTTGAACAAGAAATTCAAGGACTTTTCACGGACTTTCAAGGACACATTTCCCATTTTTCAGGCACTCCACTCAGTGCAAAAAAGAGTCTTGAGTCTGCCTTTTTTAGTTCTTCCACAACATGACTGCAATTTTAATTTTTTATCCTGAAGGTCTTTCTGTGTTTGCTCCTTTAGGCACCTGAGAATCTGGGTTGGATAAAGTTAGCACCGACAATAAAGGACTTTCCAGCAGCAACTGCAATTTTCAAGGACTTTCAAGGAATTTCAAGGTGTGTGCGAACCCTAGAGAGTATGGAGTGGTTTTGTCATCCCCGTCAATCAAGAGTGATCGGCATTATAGATTTCACGATTTTCGCTAAAATAACTACACGGCGATTTCAGTGCGTTTTTATAGTTGTTGTTGATCCTTTCTTACGTCTCCACTATCTCTGCTCGCAGTGTTGCGGTTTCAACTATTCAGCCTTCCACACAGCTCATTGAGGAGGCAGCATGGCCGAGCCGTTAGAGCGCTGAACTTGTAATTCGGAAGCCCCGAGTTCAAGTCCCGCCCTGACCGCTAGCTGGATTTGTTCAAGTCACGGTAGTCCCGAGTTTAAATCCTCGACCACGCTTGTAGATTGCAAACTGGTTTGCCTCCGGCCAGTTGGGATTCTTAACCCTGTTAAGTTTAATCTGAATTTTTTGTTTTAAGACCTTTTCTCGGCCCACTAGCATCAGTGCTATAAATACTGCCGAGGGTAAAAAAAGAAGATTTTTTCCATTTTTTTTTTTAACTTTTCATCATATGAAACAACCTGCTTTTACCGACTTGTTTCTCACGTCACGTACAGCTTTAACCATAAAATGGCTTTTTTTTCCCTTAGCCTAGTGACCAGACCATTTTCATATCCTACATTCTTGTAGGGGAACTATTTCTCACATACAGGTGTTTTTAACGGTAGTCCTGCACCATTTTTGTAGTAATGAACGTGCAAAATATGTCCATTCTCGGCTTACCTCTCATCATCCATCTCCAAACTGGATTCACTCTCTGATAGTTGTCTGCTGAGCGCCTCTCTTCTCTCCATCTCTCGCAGCAGTTTTCTTTGTAATCTGATATTTTCCTCCTTGACCTGACGTTCCTCCTTTGCATACGCCTCCATTTTTTCACAATCTAAAGAGATGGAGATGGTGTGGAGATTAGCCTAAACTAGAGCAATTTTCAATTGAGTGTTGAAAGTAATCCAGGATTGAATTGGTTTTGCTTTACTGTGCTGTTTGATTGGTCTAGAAAACTCGCGCCAACCTCTCAGCCAATCAGATGAAAACTAAAACCAATCGCTCCTTGGTCACTCGCGTTTTCCCGCGCTACAGGCCGGTTACACGCGTTTACTTCGAGTTGCCATTGGCTCCCTGTGATAATTTCCTTTACTCTGATTGGCCGTTGTGATTACTTTGGTTTTGGTTTTCGACACTCAATTGAAAAGCGCTATAGTAACTAAATCCATAATAAGTGAGGCGCGGCCACTCCCTCCCCCCCCCCCCGCGGGAGTTTTTCTGCCCGTGATATGACAGATCCACAAACTTTGTTCAACTGGATATAGATGTCCCAAGAGTTTTGTTTTCAATTTCTCAAGGCAGGATTGTTCGTCCCAAGTAAAATTGAAAATATTACTTATGCCGGCAAGCTTTTGTGAGGAAAACAAATTGCATTATGGGGGCGAACGGGAAAATCGCAAATTTAATCAAACTAAAACGTCATTACAACAAACGAACTTATCGCAAGGTAACCAAGGACGTGATTGATCAACACTGAAATTCTCCTTGTCAGTACATGTACTACAGGAAAGGTATGAAGTACGGTGGGGAGAATATATAGGCTCATCAGGATCCGCGTAATAAATCATGTGACAAATATTTCCCTTCTGGTCACCGCAAAAGGTCAGGAAAGTCCACTAAGCGGACAAATAAAGTTTCTAGTATTTTGTGTCAAAAACATCGCTTTATGTTGTGTTCCCTCAGTTTAAGATACACTACATTGCAGCACGTGCAAAATAAACTACAGCCGGAATAAAACAGTCTCTCTTGTTTCTCTTCTAACTTTCCGTGACTTAAAATGATCATTTGCGCGGCTCTTTAGTGGGCTTTTGACTCACAAGTCATTGGTATTTCACAATTTCCTGCTTTTTCAAGCTTTCAGCCTACTGAAATTCGATTTTTAGTCATGTCCAACCACTAACAGTAAGTCAAACCTTTCTTTTTCCTTAAAACTAATTTAAAAGTTTGCTTCCCGTTGTTTTACCTTGTTTTTCTTTACCCCGAAAAGGAGTTTGATTTGGGGGAAGGGACACATAGTGGAAAAACAAGAGGGAGAGGAACAGAGCAAATCAACAACCGTGACCACGAGGTAAACTGAAGACTCGGCAAGTATAAAAATATCTTTTTAAAACAAATGGAGGAAAAAAGGAAAACAAACCATGACCCCGACGTGAGTCGAACACGCAGCCTTCTGATCTGGAGTCAGACGCGCTACCATTGCGCCACGGAGTCAAGTGCGACAAGATGCAGTTTAATCAACGTTCTTATACACATTCATTTAACGTAAATTAATAACCATGGCCGCCGGATTTTCCTTTACTTCCCTTGGCGTAATGAGATTTAGAGAACTAACTCGTTTTAAAATCATGTTTGAAAATAAAGAAACATCATCCTCTAACATCCTGGGCTGGATAACGGGATAGTCAGGGGCGAAAAACAAATCACAATCTTTGAATTTATGTATGTTTGTACAACAAAGACCAAAATAATTAGACAAGGAAGAATATCAAGATTTGAGTTCTTTAGTTGCACGTGACACGTCTCTTAATATATTGCTTTCATCGTGTTTTACTTAAGCATCAAATATCAACAGGAAGACACATCCACGTGAGAAAGAACACGATTAAGTTTTCGAGTCTGTATTCTTTGTCAAGGAACATCAGCTCAGTTTCGAAATACAGGAAAGTCTCCATTTCTCGAACCACCAGATAGTGCAAACCAAATCTGGTTTCAATTTGCCAGCAAAACATTGTAATTTCCGCCACCCCACCCGATTTTTCGAATATCTGGACCTTTTTCGGAGGAGTTTCGGGATTCCACTGTACAGTAAACACCTGCGTATAAGAACACACGATTTCGGAGGTCAGGCTGATTGAGTTCTTATTTATCGGGTGCTTAAAGACAAATCAGCCTCAAAATGTTCTTAAAATGTTCTTAACTTTTTATTTAGTAATACTATCCAAAAGAAATGCTAAAGGTATATTTAGCATATTTTAGGAAAAATAAAATAAATAATTATTCTGACAGCAAACATAAACTTACATGTTTTGTAATTATGACACTTTTTCCATTTTATACGAACATGTTACAATTTTCAGGCTTATCTTCTTCTTATAAAAATGGGGCTTTATTGGCCAAATTTCAGCCTGGTGTTCTTAATCCATTTGTTCTTATATGCGGGTGTTTACTGTATTAAAATTCATCCTGAAAGTGAGGTCCAGAGGATAGAAACATAGGAAATAAACAAAAAAAGTTTATTCAGTCCGTTACTTTCTCTTACTATGACTTGCTGTTCATTCTCGAGTTTACTCTTACACCCTCTGAGCAGAAACCGAGACAGAACTATCAACTTATAATGACACATTTTTTGTAAGTTATCGGATCGTTTCGATGCAAGTCCATTGGCTACCACGGGTTAGGTCGTTTCGATACAAAATTGTTTCGGCGAAACAACTTTGATACTTTGATAGTCGTTTCCATACAAGTTAACTCGTTACTCGTTTCCGTACAACCTAGGCTGAATTCAATAACCCTTTTACAAGCGTACAGTAATTTACACAGGGGCACCCAACGAGGATATAGTTCAAAACCACTTAACATAGCATTGTTGAACGTATTTTAGTATTTAAACGGTAGATATAGGCATATTTTTATCCCCTAAAAACTTTTCATCTGTTCGGATTTCCTAGCTGAAAGTCTAGTGATCCGAAAATTATAGGGATCAAAACTTACCTTTTCGAAAATTTCAGCCAGGAAAAGGCTCCCGAAAATTCTAGGTGGCCTTTTTTAGGGTAAATATCCGTTTAAAATGGGTAATTATATCATTTTGTAGACGTTCGAAAATCCTAGGAGAGGCAGGCAAGCAAGAAATTTTACAGCAAATGTTCCGAAAATTCTAGATCTCAAATCGTCTTCCGAACAGATATTTTCCCGAAAATTGCCGTTGGGTGCCCCTGTTTACAGGTAACACGCAACAGCTACAATTGAAAATCACACTTGCAAAAGCTTTATTTGTTTGGCCCTTGAGTTTCTTCACTACAACGACTATAGATTCTGTAGTTTCTTATGTTTTTAAAGTTAGGCCATTTACCCAAACAAATTGTATCAAGCAAAACGTATAAGATATTTTCTCGGTCTCGCGAGCATCGTTTCCGTACTTGATTCTTGGTGACAAATTCTAGATTCGAGTACATAGGCCCGTATAGGATAGCGACTCTTTTTATGGTACTGTTTCATAAAAAGCATCTTGAGAGAAGTTATACACGTAAGAGAATTTACACTTAGATATCACTTACAAGAATTGTTTCGCCCGGACATAAGTCGATTCGCCTGATGACATTCAACTCTCTACAACACGGTAAACATAATTATCAGAGATGTTATTTTAGTTAAGTTTGGATTCCTTATGTGCAGTCACTGTCTTTTCACAATTATCCCTTTTTTCAGGCTTAACAAACGACAAAAAAGCATCGGGTGAATCGTCTTAAGTGCTGGTGAATAGACCTTTTTAGCTTGTCTGTTTTGTTTTCCCATTTCACACCACGTGATGGTACCCCTGAAAACTGTTTTCTTTCAACTGTCGTCTTGTGCACGTGCATCCACGTGCATATGTAGGCGAACAGTGGCCCCGGGGGGGGGAGGGGGTACTGCCATATATGGGCTATATAGGTATGTGCCGCTGTGAAGGGTATGGTTTTCAAGCAGTTTACTCTAGGATAGGGTATATAAATCAGAGAGTTCGGGTCTAGGATAGGGTATCATTTTTCAGGAAACTGATCAGTTGGTTGAAGATTTTATCTAGACTAGGGAAACAGCTACTCTAGGATAGGGGGGATTTGGGGAGTTTACTCTAGTATAGGGTAGCAAAATTCAGCTGAACTAGCTCTGGTATAGGTGAAGGGTTCCAGGGTCCGAGCGGCAGCACATCCCTACCCAGAAATTCCTATAGTACCCCCCCCGACAGTGGCCAAGAACTAATCTGTGCTTTTCCTGGAGACCATCACTTGGTCTGAATTGGGAAAAACCAAAAATATACAAGCTAAACAGGTCTATTGCCTTCGGGCGAAAAGGCCTGATGTTACTTACAATCAGCTTCAGATTTGGCAAGTTGCTGTCTGAGTTTGCGAATCTCTTCTCTCAGTGATGTGATATGTGAAGCCAGATCACCCACAGCATCCTCTCCATCTTGAAACTGTCTGGGGGAGGGTGGCTCAGAGATAGGTTCCTCAAGCTTCTCTTGTAGCATTCTGACGGGAAGCAGAAAAAATTTACAATAAATAACTGCACTATAGCATCTTTACTATAACCTGCGATGCGAAAGAACGATCGCTTAGCACATGTATTTCCCATGTGGGTAGTCACCATCTTTGATTTTAAAAGCAGAGGAAGAACTGAAATAGTAGAAAGCACAAAAAGTTTGGTGAGTTCAGGGGATACCAGAAGGCCCCTTTGAGTTGTCCAGAAAATTCTACTGCTTCTATGCCCACACTGCTAGCTACAGTGAGGAAATATTACACTTGTGTAGCAAGAACATTTTTTTCTTAATTATGAATGCCACCACAAACTATGTACTGCCAAGGTTTTGACCAACTTTCGAATAGACCTATTCGGCAAACTCAATGTTACACCCAATTCAAATCTCCCAAGGTTAAGATTCTTTGTGTATTGTATTTTGCATTATAGTGTGGCATTCACATTTAAATGATATGCAAATGGGTTTGAATTGGGTACAACACTGAGTTAGCCGAATAGGTCTGTTCCTGAAAGCACTTTATTTTTCAGGTTTTCTTTGCCTGCATATTACTATTCTGTGACCAGAAGCAGACAGGAAGCAGAAGAATAAAAAAACAGTTATTATAGGGAAGGGGAAATGCAGAATGCAGTCAGTTCAACCAGAAACCAGTCATTTTGCCCTAATTACTTGACCCCCTATTTTCGAGTCATTTAGCATGCTCCAAATATAATATTCCTAGTTCTATAAGCCATAAAACTGAACCAGTGCACTTTAAATGTAATATTTCTCATCCTACAAGCTATAAACCAAAACAAGTGCACTTCAAATACAATATTCCTCACTCTACAGTAGGCGGGCTAAGTTACTGGGGTGAAATTACTTGGGGGCAAAATGAATGTAAAGAGTTCAACCCACCTCTTCTCTGCTTCCAGTCTGTCCATTCTTTTCCACAGCCTGTTGACTAATAACTCCTGCTCTTGTTCTAAAGTATTCTCAAGATCCACTTTCTCTTTCCTCAGCTGAAAAAAAGAATTCAAATAATATCACAATGAAGGCCAAGCAGTCAGTATCCCCAATTCAAGTCCCACTCTGACCACTATCTAGATTTGTTCTTGGTTGTCCTTAATTCAAATCATGAATTCAAATCCACGTAAAAAAAAAATAGCCAACCGATTGCCTCCTGCCAATTTGGGTTTTTAATCAGGTGTAATGTTCTGTTTGGATTATTTGTTTCCAGTGAGTATTTGAATGGAAAGGTGGTAAACTAGCTGAAATGCTAAGTTCACTTTGAGATAAACAACTTTTTTTTCCAGGAGAGGGGGTGGGGGTGCAAGGTAATGATTTCCAATTATTTCAATGGAGACATACAAACTGTAGCTCCACAACCTAACTATATCACATGCAGAAGTGCCAAACTTGAGCATTCAATTAAAATCCCAAATTAGACTGTGTGACTATGTAAAAAATGGTACCATGTAAAGGTGCTGATGAGGTTCTATCAATTTTGAATAATTCAGTTACTGTTCTCACACAAAACTGGGAGCCATGCCAAGCCGACAATGCAGCCCGACCTTTATTATATCAACACTATGAATCATTAGTGTTACAGCACCAAAAGAGAGCTAACAAAAACAGCTGAAACTGAGCCTAGATACAATAGATTAACATACAAGAATAACCGTAACTGAGGCACTACTTGAAAACCTACAACCCTAAAAATACATGGAGGGTGGGTGGGTGGGGAAGGTCAGGCAGTGGTGGAAGGCAACAAAAACAACTGAACTCTGAAATGCAATGTGACCTGAAGACCCCCTGCACACTCGAACCCATACTCCCAGCCGTGTGTTAAAAAAAAACGTTTTCTGCTTCTTTCGTCCCTCAGCCAGCAGAAAACCACACTTATAATTCAATAATCCTGTGTCTTATCATACCACAACAGACTTTCCAACCTTTTGGAGTATGTAAAATACAGATATTTTTTTAATCACTGATGAATCATGGGAGGGCTGAAGGGCTGAGCCTCTAGGGGAGTTTAACGGGGATGTTCCTCAGAAAAATTTGAAATCTTGATGCTCTGAAAAGTCATTTCTAAGGTTTTGAGAGGACAATTTCTGTCTTGATAGTCATTTTATGCTTAATTTTATTAGCATAGTTGAACATTCAAGTACTTAATTCTATTTTATTTTTCATGTGGTTTTATAAAGTTTTCTGGATATCACTTTCAGTTAAGTATATTCTGTAAAATGTATTTGCCATAAGAATTCCTGTTAAAATATCAGAACAGATGTCAAAATTCGGATTTTTCCTATCCGATTGCATACCGGTCCAGATTCGAAATTTTCAAGCAAAATTAAGAGAATCCCAACAAGATCAGGATGGTTGGACAGTCTGCCACAATGTGGTAATGAGACAGTATGCAGCGATAATAAAACGCAATAATAAATTAGATTAGTAATCAGTGCAACTGACAGATAAAGGACATTCATTACCTGTTCTAAGGTCGTCTGCTTTGAAGTGACATCTGATTCCAGTTTGTCAATTTTTCTCATCAATTTGTTGACTTGATATTCCTGCTCTTGCTCTAGGGTTTGCTCCAGCTGAATCTTCTCTTGGCGTAGCTAAAAAAAGACAAATGGCACCACAATAAAGCTTTCCTTTTTAGAATGAATTATTGTTAAGGGTGGCACCAGGGTTCGCAAATACGCCAAATTTGGCGTATTTTACGCCAAAATTGATCAGATGACTCCACAGAGGTTACGGAGGGAGTCACTTCGACTTCAGAAATTTTCGGTAACAAACAGGGAGCCACTTCGACTCCAGAAATTTTCGGTAACACACACAGTTTTGTCCCTACCTTTTTCGCAACAAATGCAATTTACGTTAATTGTAAACGTTGCAAACCTTAATTAAATCATCAAAATTAAAGAATGATACTGCACGACAAAACAGGAAAAGGGTAAATTACGATCAAAGTTTACTCGATGACCGCCATCATGGATTTGAGCTTTCTAGGTCAGTGGACCCCCACAGCTACACCGTATATCCATCATGATAGTTATTCATGCCAGGACCATGTGCTGTAAAGTCTGAAAATGGCTTTTTTCGTTGTGATACTTGACTCCAAATTTTCCAAAATGACTCCAAAATTTGTGAAGCGGAAGTCACAGTGACTCCACTCATCAATAAAATTTGCAATCCCTGGGTGGCACCTTGGGGAGAGCACTCGCCTCCCACCAGTGTGGCCCAGGTTCGAATCCTGGCGGCGACGCCATATGTGAGTTGAGTTTGTTGTTGGTTCTCTCCCTTGCTCCGTGAGGTTTTTCTCTGGGTACTCCAGTTTTCCCCTCTCCTCAAATTCCACTTCAATCTGGAACGCACAGACACGTTTCAACGAGTTCTTATGAACTCCTTGGTGCTCCGTGGGTAAACAAATTACAATTTTCTTTGTGTACTACAGTAAAAACCCACATTATAAGATCCTAAGTTTTTCCAAGCTAGGCTAAAAAGGTTCTGATAAAAATGGTGCTAACTGGAAAATTAGGCTAATCAGGTTCTTATTAAACAGGTTATGAAGGTTAAACAAAGCTATGCAAGTTAAGCAGGACAAAAACAACATTAAAACACGATGCAAGAACATAGCCCCAGATTTTTTGCATCAACTGATCTCACCACTATCGCCACTTTGTTGATACTTATTAAAAAAAACCTTTTGTAAAACATGATAAAAGTAATGGCACTCGACTCGTTGCTACATATTTTATGTTAATTACTGTTTTATTGCTGGTTCATTTTGAATTGAATCCATTTATAGGTAAATGTTTTTACTTGCCATTTTTGTACTAAATATCACCTGCTTGTCCATGTTAAAAGAAAGAATATTTATCGGCTTCAGTTTCAAATTCTTATAATTTGAAGATCCTAACATGTAATCTATTTTGTTTTAGTAAAATCCAACTAGTGGTCTATTATCAGTGCTGCGTTCTGATTGGTTGAGCTACTACTAGGCTATATGTTATAGCCCCCTAGAAGCGAAAACCGCGGGCTTAAAGACTAGCTTTTAACTAGCTGAAAATTTTTTATTCTCGATATTTTTGACCAACTAGTTGGATTTTACTATCACAATAGCAATAATTGTATTATTCCTCTCGCCCTCATGGCCTCTGAGTCAATAGCCCATTCGGCCTTCAGCCTCATGGGCTATTGACTCAAAGCCCATTCGAGCTCGAGGAAAAATTGTTAATTAGCCCTTGAGAGCCATGTGTTTCAAACCAAAATATATATTTTGAATTTGAGCACTCTGCCAATAGGTGCGCATACATATCAACTGGTACATTGTATATTTTGAATTTTATATGTATGTCATGTTACTTTTTCTTCTTATTATTGCAGTGAGGATCGGTTTGCTGTTGTTTCTTTTGTTTTATTTTTCTCATCATGATGAGCACAAGGATGTGAAATTGTCCTGGCGAATATTCCTTTTTCATATCTTCTACTTTTTTGGTAGTGAACAACTCATATTTTATGACATCACAAACATGTATCTTGGATTCTCCCAAAGCAAACACAAACACGGTCAATGGTAACAAAGCTTGGAATGTAATACTGTTTAGAATACAGCTATTTAACTAATAGGTACCTGCATTAATTTTCTTGACAAATCGTTTGTGAGAAATTCTTCTTCCTGTTCATAGTTCATTGCCAGAGTTTCTTTTTCTTTTTTCAGTGACTGAATTTTCTTCAGCAACGTGTTGGAAATAAATTCCTCTTCTTCCTCTGCTTTGGCTTGCTGTTTGGTGTAAAAAAAATTAAGTTAAGTCATGAAATGTTGTGGTTCAATCTTATAATTGGCTCAGATTTATTTCTTTTCTCTCCTGCACGGCTATGTACAATAACTTGTTGAAAAAATGTAAATATTATAATATTTGAACCAAGGATAAAATTCAACATAAACAATAAAATTATTGACCACAAACAGGGCTTGAAATAACTATTGGGCAGGTGCCGGACACATTGTCCGGTCAAACATGATTTTGCTCGGACATAGGCATTTTTGGCCGGACAAATTCAATCCATCTTAACTAGTTGCAGAGGCTCCATTTTGCAAGTTACATGATCTGTATCATTTTCAGCAACAGCAACTCTAGTTACTCAAAACAAATCGAGTGTGCAAAAAATTAGAAGTTGTAGTTTTATTACTCTTTGTTCTGTTACATTGTAAGTCAGATATCAAATTTTGAAACGCAAAATGGAATGACAAAATGGAATGCAGTTCTTTGGAGAGTGGTCTTTTGCTGAGGAATGTGTTCTTATAAATGTGCCCTTACTTGGGAAAACGTACATTAACGATATTCCATTAAACGGTCTAGACCATTAGCTATCCATTAGACAGATCAAATGAAAACCGTGAGAGGCTTTTGGCAATCCGTTAACTCATCCATATCCATTACACTGTTAGTTGTGTCCATTAGAGGTGTTAGTCAATTTGTTAACATCTTATGTTGAACCATTAGAACGTGAATCATGTCTGTTAGCGATTAATCCATTGATCTTTACCTTAAATGCTCTGTTGAAGAAGTTCCAACGGAAACATTTTTCTGTGGGTCTGTAACACCGTCACTTTAGACACATTATTTTGTAACCCTTGAACCCTTTCAAACAGTTTTCACCCATTTTAATGACCATTCGTAAAAGATTAGCATTGTCGAAGAACTCACTTACGGTGGCGTCTAAAATCTCCAAAGGTAAAGAGTGGAGGGTAAATTTCCTCAAACAGGTAAGGTAGTCATATACAAGCTTCAGGAAAGAACAAAATCTGCAAACATTTGTTTTGCGTCACATATTTGCATTGATGCTCAGAAATGAACATCAGTAAAACGTGATCTACTTTTTTGCCTAGTACATGATTGAAAGTCTCCTCTACAAAGAAGAAACAGATCGTAAATATTTTCGTGCAAAAGTTGATTTGGCGAGAAGTCTGTTCAACAAACGGCATGACTTCAATGGTACTTTATTGGAAGTCAATAATATACAGGAAAGCTTTTATTTGGGTTGTCAAGCAATTATGCCTTATCGCAATCGGCTCAAATGTCAACAAGCTCAAGAAATAAGCACCAAGATAGACGACTTTTGATCTCCATTTTATCAGACTAATCTGCAATCGAGTCGGCAATCGAGATACATGTTCAACATAAAGAAATTATTATCAATCAATGTGCTAAAAGTTATTCCATGAGAAACACGGGACCTGTTGAGTATTGCATTCAGTTTGCCTGAAAATCGATAAGACCAGATGAAGACTTCTGTCGAATTCATCACCGGTGATTTGCACAATCCTCTTACAAGTAAAGGCGAACATAAGACGGACCAACCGTTAACTGTTGAAGCGCTTGAACAAATCGTTAGTGCATTTGGACAAACCATTAGAGCATTAAAAAAGCCGTTAGCTACGTGTTATCTGTTAGTCTTCTAATGGCTAACGGATTATCATTTGCGTATGTTTTCTTCGGGCATGGAACACGTTCTCCTTCACACAAATTTTGGGGTTTCCTTTGCATTCCTTTTGTGTTCCAATTGCATTCCATTGGCGTTACACGAACGCATTCAGTGTTAGGTTAATTCTGTCCAGTTCTGTAGGAACACGAAGTTTTGACAAAACACCAACACAAGACAATTTCAAATCCAGTTACATGACAAAGGCAACCACCTTCCACTGGCAGTGCCTATCATAATGTTAAACAAAAAATATATTTCATAGTCCACAAGTAACACCATTGAAGATTGTCTTTTCCATACATTTCTCCCCTGTTAAATTCACAAACAGTATTGTAATGTTTTTCTTTTCAGTTGCTAGTATCATACCCTGAAATTTGAACGATGTTAAAAACTCCTAAGAACAAATTATCATAAGCAAAGGAAGAATTCTGAACACAATTCAGAATAATTATTAATTGGAAACGGGTATGTAAAACTTGCCAGTTGAAAGAAACAAAATCAAACGCGACATGTTTTAGTATTTGCCTTCGCAAATTAATATACCTAAATTCCTACAATTTCACGCTAAGATTGGCCCTAAAAATAAAATACAAACAACAACCTTTTTTCTTTTATCTGCGAGTCACACCTTTTTGTGTCACGTCAGCTGTTTTTCTGGACGTAACTTTGATCGAGTCTGTCGGTGAAATCTCTAACATAGTCATTGAAAAAAAAGTTAACGAACATTTCACTATAGCGATATGGTTTTCTCTCTAAGCCCTACGTCTGTAAAGCTGAAATGGATATTGATAACCGTACAACTTACAATTGAAACGCTTGCTTGGCGAAGAGCCCTGTTTTCTTCCTGCAATTGTTTGCAGCGTAGCTTACAAGTTTCCAGTTCCATTTTCAAAACCCTATTTTCCTGTTTTAGACGTGCTATGAGGTTCTTTTCTCTTTGAGCTACAGACGATGAGCTTTCGTCTGCACTCATATCACTGTCACTGAATCCCGTGCCCTCCATTGAAGAGCTCAACGAGCTCGCCATCTTGGAAACACACAGTTCCCACAAAGCCCTGCAAGAAGTGATAAGTCGGAGGGGGAAGCAAGCGGTAGCTCGGAATTCGTATCGGAAATCCGTATTCCGGGAACACTCATTCCAGATACGTAACCACTGTCCTTCCCGAAAAAATCCAGTTGTTAAAATCCAAAGACAGATTTTCCAGATGAACTCACCCAGAACAATAGCTTTCTCATTAGCCTGAATTTCATCCGATTACTTCGGGTCGTTATTATTCCCTCAGTAATTTCCTCAGTTTCAGAGAGGAGAAAACGACTTGAAGCAATCGGATGAAATTCAGGCTACTCTCTCATATGATTAACTTAATTTTTGTGTTTGCTTTTTTACTTCCTCATCCACACAGCGCTACAGTTTTTACTGAAAATAACCCACTAATTTATTCTTCTGTGTTAGAAAAGGACCAGGCTTAGAATACGAACAATAGTCGAAAGAGTCCTACTGATTTTTCTCAGGGATTGTAGAGCAGAGATTGTGGATCTGTACAGCCCCCGAAATGATCCCGACCGCGAAATGATCTCCAAACCCGAAATGATCCCCAATAAATCAATGGTATTCCGTCACGGAATTATTACAAGTCTGTTGCAGCGTTTACAATCTTGAAAAGCATTTAACATTTCACTACAGTTTATGTGATTTTTAGCGCTTTTGTCATCTAATCACCTTTATGACTTTTGCACCTTCAACATCATTCAGGGGCACCCAACGACAATTTTCGGGAAAATATCTGTTCGGAAGATGATTTGAGATGTAGAATTTTCGAAACATTTGTTGTAAAATTTCTTGCTTGCCTGCTTCTCCTAGGATTTTCGAACATCTAAAATATGGTATAATTGCCTATTTTTAACGGATTTTTACTCTAAAAAGGTCACCTACAATTTTCGGGAGCCTTTTTTCTGGCTGAATTTTTCGAAAAGGTAAGTTTCGATCCCTATAATTTTCGGATCACTAGACTTTCAGCTAGGAAATCCGAACAGATGAAAAATTTTTAGGGGATAAAAATATGCCTATATCTACCGTTTAAATACCAAAATACGTTTAACAATGCTATGTTTTAGTGGTTTTGAACTATATTCTCGTTGGGTGCCCCTGATCATTATAAATTTTTAAGAAATGTTAAAACACCATTTTTAAAATTCACTATCCAAGACATGCAATGTTAACATCATTTTTATAATTTAACATCCATGCAGTTTTCTCTATAACCCGGGCTATATTATAATAAAAAATGGTATGTTTCTTGATGTTATCAGTTGCAGTTCATTGTGTTGCTAAAAATATACTAGACTTTGTGTAGTATTTTCATTTAATCCAGTTCAAAGTGTAATCCCAAATTAATGTCATTAAAGAATGCAGGCAGGTGAAGATTATTAGTGAAAATTTAATGTTATGCATTTTGCTCGATCCATAGTTCTGGACATCATTCCATTCCTAAAATTAATTGGGATCATCTCGGGGTCGGGATCATAGAAAGAATTGTAGTAAGATGTAGTAAGAAGTAAGATCGCACGAAAATGATATTCACTCGCCCTCTGGTCTCGTCCTCACTCTATGATCCCTGGAGGTACTATTCGTAGCTACACAAGGCTAGGCTCACACTTTTTGCTTTAGCTACCATAAATCTATTACTTCCCCTCTCTCTAATACCGAAAGTACTCCCGAAGGATTACAAGAGTGCTCATTAATTTTATGGTGTTCACAAGAGCTGGCAAAGACATTCAAGTGTTCACGATAGCGCGCGTTTGTAGTAATGGTAAGTTTATATAAAGATTGACGCAAGCCGCAGTAGTCATGATAGTGGTCGAAAGCTACCGAAAGTACCCCCGAAGAGTTGCGAGAGTGTTCTTTAATTTTGTAGTGTTCAAAAGAGTTAGCAAAGGGTTTTAAGTGTTTACGATAGCGCGCGTTCGAAGTAATAGTAAGTTTATATGAAGATTGACGCAAGCCAAAGTAGTCCATGATAATGGTCGAACTTACCAAAAGCACCCCCGAAGGATTACGAGAATGTTCATTAATTTTATAGTGTTTACAATAGTTGGCAAAAGCTTTTAAGTGTTCACGATAGCGCGCGTTTGAAGTAATAGCAAGTTTGTATGAAGATTGACGGAAGCCGAAGTAGTCCATGATAATGGTCGAACTTACCGAAAGCACCCCCGAAGGATTACGAGAATGTTCATTAATTTTATAGTGTTTACAATAGTTGGTAAAGGCTTTTAAGTGTTCACGATAGCGCGTCTGACGTATTGATAAGTTTATATGAAGATTGACGCAAGCCGAAGTAGTCAATGATAGTGGTCGAAAGTTTCCGAAAGTACCCCCGAAGAATTGCGAGAGTGTTCATTAATTTTATAGTGTTCACAAGAGTTGGCAAAGGGTTTTAAGTGTTTACGATAGCGCGCGTTCGAAGTAATAGTAAGTTTATATGAAGATTGACGCAAGCCGAAGTAGTCTATGATAATGGTCGAAGTTATTGAAAGTACCCTCGAAGGATTACGAGATTGTTCATTAATTTGATAGTGTTTACAATAGTTGGCAAAGGCTTTTAAGTGTTCACGATAGCGCGCGTTTGAAGCAATGGTAAGTTTAAAATGAAGATTGACGCAAAAAATGAAGATTGAAGATTGACGCAAGATTGATCTGGGTTCCCTACGATTCTTTGCCTCCTACCTAGGTAACAGGAGCCAGAAATGTTATGTTAATGGCGTATTGTCCAGTGTAAGCGAACTAAGATGCGGAGTCCCACAGGGTAGTATTCTCGGTCCTTTGTTCTTCTTAATCTATATAAACGATCTTCCAAACTGCCTTAATTCAGCATGCGCTAAAATGTTCGCAGATGATACAACTATTACCATTTCTGGTTCCTCTCTAGCTGACCTTGAACAAGAGACTAACTTAGAGCTACTGAACCTTCACTGTTGGCTAAAAGCCAATAAGCTTAGTCTTAATGTTGCGAAAACCGAGTTTATGGTTATTGGCTCTCGCCAGAAGCTTCTCGCGGAAAGCCATAACGAAATAAACATCAAACTAGAAGACCAAGTTATCAGCAATGTTGATCACGCAAAATCATTAGGTCTCATTATTGACAATCGGCTTTCCTGGTCTAATCATGTTAACGAATTGTGTAAGAAGGTAACTTCGGCTATAGGTGCCCTTAGACGTATTAGGCCCCTTATCTCCCAATCTACTGCGGTACTAGTCTATAACTCCTTAATTCAACCTCACTTTGATTACTGTAGCCTTGTTTGGGATGGCTTAAGTGATCAACTGAGTGACAAATTACAAAAGTTACAGAACCGTGCAGCTAGAGTAATTTTAAAGGCCAACTATGGGACTAGCTCGAGCCTGCTTCTTGATATACTCAAATGGGACAAATTAGTTATAAGGAGAAAGAAGCATAAAGCAATAATGATGTTTAAATCTCTAAATGAACAAGCTCCAGTGTACTTGCAGAACCTATTTCACGAACGAAGCACAGACTATGATTTGCGCAATTCCTTTCATAAATTGACGTTGCCCAGGCCGCGTACTAACTACTTGAAACGAAGTTTCAGTTACAGCGGTGCTTTGTTGTGGAACTCTTTACCCGAAAATGTGAGAGAAACTAAATCAGTCAGGAAATTTAAAGAGCAAATCAAACATGTATTTGAGTCGTCGGACTCTCACTCGGCAGTCTTGTAAAACAGTATGTCGATAGTTTTTAGTCTAATTAATTGTGATTAGATTTTTACTCTATTATTACTGAAGATTTTACCGAGTTTTAAATAAAAAATCTACCTACCTACCTAAGCCGAAGTAGTCAATGATAGTGGTCGAAAGTTTCCGAAAGTACCCCCGAAGAATTGCGAGAGTGTTCATTAATTTTATAGTGTTCACAAGAGTTGGCAAAGGGTTTTAAGTGTTTACGATAGCGCGCGTTCGAAGTAATAGTAAGTTTATATGAAGATTGACGCAAGCCGAAGTAGTCTATGATAATGGTCGAAGTTATTGAAAGTACCCTCGAAGGATTACGAGATTGTTCATTAATTTGATAGTGTTTACAATAGTTGGCAAAGGCTTTTAAGTGTTCACGATAGCGCGCGTTTGAAGCAATGGTAAGTTTAAAATGAAGATTGACGCAAGCCGAAGTAGTCAATGATAGTGGTCGAAAGTTTCCGAAAGTACCCCCGAAGAATTGCGAGAGTGTTCATTAATTTGATAGTGTTTACAATAGTTGGTAAAGGCTTTTAAGTGTTTACGATAGCGCGCGTTTGAAGTAATGGTAAGTTTAAAATCAAGATTGACTAAGCCGAAGTAGTCCATGATAATAGTCGATAGTTACCGAAAGTACCCCTGAAGTATTGCAAGAGTGTTCGTTAATTTTATAGTGTTCACAAGTTGGCAAAGGCTTTTAAGTGTTCACGATAGCGCGCGTTTGACGTAATGATAAGTTTATATGAAGACTGACGCAAGCCGAAGTAGTCAATGATAGTGGTCGAATGTTTCCGAAAGTACCCCCGAAGAATTGCGAGAGTGTTTATTAATTTTATAGTGTTAAAGTGAGTTTAACATGTTGCTGAGTGGTTGTAGTGTGGGCACAGCTTCGAAAATTGTATAGGCGTCAACTCTATTTGTATAAATTTAATTGCCTCCTTTGCCTGTGTGCTTGTTTGCGATTTCACCTTGTCAAGCGCAAAGTGACCCTGCCGCGCCCTTAAAATAGCTGGGTAATGAAGGGAGACTTTTTTAATACACACATTTGATATGATATTTATTTAGTCTTAGATGATATTAGTCTAAAGTGAACACTAAAAGTGATTTTTACGGATTCCTAACGTGTCCGAAAATTTTTCGTTTTGTCGAGTATACGCAGATGCGTGAGTCCGAAATCAACGTCCCGGTTTGGGCCGGTCGGGCAAGTTTCTGGAAGTCACGGTGAATTTAAATGAATTCTTAGTATCCGATACCCTGCGAGCAGTGGCCAGTTAGTTTGTTTTAGCAGTGTTTTAGAATCGCTCTTTTA